GAGACCAACCAGGCGAAGATTCGAGCTGCGGGCTCGGTTTTCCAAGTCATCCACTTTTGAGACTAGCTCTTCAATAGTCGCTTTCATGGTGTTGGTCTGTGTTTTCAATGATGCTACATCGTCTTGATTGGCGCTAATTCTGTCCTCCGCTTCAGTAACATGTACTGACACTGCCTTCAGTTCACTCTATATTCCCTAAATAGCACTAAACAGGCCGTCAAATCTCGATGCGAAGTCTCCTTTCATTGCGTTCATGGCATTAGGGTGGCCGTGGCTCAGCGGTAGAGCAGGTCGTCCAATAACCGGAAGGTTGGGGGTTTGATCCCCGCTCCCGCTTGCCACGACCGAGGTGCCCTTGAGCAAGGCACCACCCCCCCCAACATCTGCTCCCCGGGCGCTGGCAACAGCAGCCCACCGCTCCAGTATATGTGTGTACATGGCATCTGTCAATGTGTGTTTCATCCAGGTGCCAACTGGATGGGTTAAATGCGGAGAACAATTTCATCTATGCATGTAAAAGTGTTAAACGTGACAATAAAAGTATATCTTCTTAAGGATTTGACTCGAGCTAGCCGGAGTCTCCATTGCTAGCATTAGCATCCACCATTCCCGTACCACACGTACTTTCTGCTTTAGATGATTTCTGAGTTTTTGCTGACTGTTTCGGAGGCATTGGGGCTGGTTGTTCTGTTTCAGCACAAATTGTGGCTGTTCACTGGTCCTATACTGGCTGTTTGATTAGTTTGTTCTCAGAATTCTCACGGTGGCTCTGACACACGTGTGGTAGCACAGCACCATAACCGGAAGTGTGAAGCAGATTATTGATTTGATTATTGATCGATTGATTGATTATTTCTCTCGTGACAATTCAATTTTATTTGTATAGCGCCAAATCATAATATACATTATGTCAAGGCACTTTACATACAAGGTCAGGACCTTAAAAATATAAAGAAACCCAACAGTTCCCACAATGAGCAAGCACTTTGGCGACTGTGGAGAGGAAAATCTCCCTCATTAACAGGGAGAAACCTCTAGCAGAACCAGGCTCAATGTGGGCGATCATCTGCCTCGACCGGTTGGGGTGAGCAAAGAAWACKGGGGAAGGAGATGAGAGAGGGGTGGAAAAGAGGGGAGAGAAGAGAGAGGGATAGTGGGGAGGGGGAGGTAGGTGAGAGAAAGACCGGGGACACTTGAGCACCATCAGGTATCAGATCTGACTAGTTAAAAATGGAACAACACTATTAATTACTGTGGATAACAGACACATTTTATATCATAATGAATTACTGCGATATTGTAATTAGTAATAGGAGAAGTTGTTGTCCTGAGGTTCTGGGGTCAGAGATATCTGAAATGAGAGAGAAAAAAGAGAGAGAGAGACTATGGGAGCACATAACTGTTTCATAGTAATTAATAATATCTTCTAACACTGCGTGTATCATTAAGGACAAGTGTTTATAAAATTGTAGTATTCTTGTGGCATTTTGACTACATTTGTACTAAACAAGGATCTCAGAGACACATTAATGGGATCCACCTCACAGATTCCAATGCTGATGTTTGTCGGAGCACAGGGGAGCTCGAATTAAAATGCATATGAAGTAGGGATGCACGATATATCGGCATTAATATCGGTATCGGCCAATGTTCGTCATTTTTTAACCTATCGGCATCGGTCCGGTGAGTGAAATTGGGCCGATATGCACAACCGATGTATATCCGGGGGAGGGGGATTTGGCCATGGCCATGTGTATTTGTTTGGGCGCGTCAGTGACGCAAAGGCGGCACAGGATTGTGGGATGTTAAACGGAAGAGGAGAAAAAATGTCAGCGGTGTGGGCGTTTTTCACTGTGTCAAACGAAGACACTCGAAAAGCAGTATGCAACACCTGCAAAGTCGAGGTAATGCGAGGAGGATGCCACGTCAAGTCATTCAACACCACAAATTTAATATGCCATATGAAAAACCGCCACCCAGAGCTACACAAACAACTGCAGGAAAAAAATGCTGCTAACATTAGCCAGCAGGCAAAAACGAAATCAGCTGCAGCTGGGAGTCCAATACAGCAGGTACTCGACCAGACCAAGAAATTTGCCAAGGACAGCGCAAAAGCAAGGACAATAACCGACAAGGTAATGGAAATGATTGCTCTTGACGACCAACCATTTTCCATCGTGGAGGACCGAGGATTTCGGCAGTTGATAGAGCATATTGAACCCCGCTACACCCTACCAAGTCGGCGCTACTTTTCCGACGTCTCCCTCCCTGCTTTGTATGAAGTCGTGGCCACGCATATCCACAAATTGTTGGACAATGTGACTGACATTAGCTTCACTACAGATATATGGAGCTCGGACGTAAGTCAGATGAGTATGTTGAGCCTTACTGCTCAGTGGATTAATGACAACTTTGAAATGAAGAGAGCTGTTTTACATGCGCAAGAGTTTGCAGGATCGCACACGGGAGTCGCCATCGCTAGCGCATTTGACTGCATGTTTGCTAAGTGGAAAATTAAAAAAGACAATGTGCATGTTGTGCTCCGCGACAATGCRCGGAATATGCAGAAGGCAATGGAGGAGTGTGGCGTTAAAAGCCTGGGCTGCATGGCTCACACGCTGCAGCTAGCAGTGCATGATGGAGTGTTAAGCCAGCGGAGCATTTCTGACTGTGTGGCGATCGGGAGGAAAATAGTCGGACATTTTCGCCATTCTCAACTCGCTACTTCTCGGCTGAGAGACATACAGCAAGAGTTAGGTATGAAAACCATGATGCTACAACAAGATGTGGCGACCAGATGGAACAGTACTTTTTATATGATGAAAAGTCTACTGGATCAGAAGCGCGCACTTGGTGTGTATGGAGCAGATCATGAGCTGCCTGCGTGTTTAAGTGCACATCAGTGGGGCCTCGTTGAAAACATGACCACGCTTCTCACTCCATTTGAACAATTAACGAGGGATATCAGCTCACATCTGGCCACTACTGCGGACGTGATTCCGTCTGTTGTGGCACTGAAACGTTTGCTGAGCAAGGCAGCTGACACAGACAGTGGGGTCCGCACAGCAAAGCACACTCTACTGGAAGCTGTGAACGCGCGATTTGGAAGCGCTTTCTCTGAGCCGCTTTACTACTTGGCAACGATCCTTGACCCCCGGTACAAAGACCGTTATTTTGACACAGTCACCAAGCAAGCGGCGGCAAATATGCTCCAGAAGCAAGTGGACAAAATGACGCACAGCGACAGCGCTACGGAGACACCGGACACAGAGGAACCGCAAGAGAAGAAGATAAGAACAAGTGACGAGGGTGGAAAGTCGCTGCTTGACATGCATGAYGAAATTCTGGAGGAAAACTTGACCATGGAACAGCAGGCAGGCCTGACAAGCCACACAAGTGTGCAGGTATAATATTATCAGACCCAGTCTTTTATAAAAAATAACGAAGTCCTTTGTGTAGTGATTTTTTTTTTTTAAATTAATGTGCTGTGAATTCTATAGAGTTACTAAAATAATAGATTTACTTAAATGAAAATGCTAATTGTTATAAAAAATATTTAGTAATGCTTCTCTGCCCCCTTGAGGTTGACCTTTAGCACTGGTCATCTCCTCAGAGCAAAGKTCATCAAAGCTCTTAAGGAGAGGAGGATAATGTTGTAATGTCTAGAGTACTGCTGGTAATTTATCAGACATGCATAGTTATACACTTGTCTACATTCCTGTAGGTGCATGGCYATCTGAGTGAGCCCCTCATCCCCAGAAATGAGAGCCCACTGCAGTATTGGAAAAGCAACATGTCTCGCTTTCCTGCCCTGGCCAAAGCAGCATGCAAGTTCCTTTCGGCTCCATGTACAAGTGTGGACAGCGAACGTCTCTTCTCTGCTGCATCACATATTGTTGATGAAAAGAGAAACAGAATCCAGTGTGAGAAAGCAGAAATGCTTCTCTTTGTCAAAAAAAACCTGCCTTTGCTGATGTAGTAGGCCTGGACTATAACTTACTGTACAGTGTTAGGTGGAAACAGTTTCAGTGTTTGGGACATTTACTTTTAGTACATTGTGGCTGCTTTAAGTTGGAAAATGTACAAAGACAGTTATGTCACAGTTCTCATATTTTGATGAACATTTTTATAGATGGGTCTTGAAATTGACTTGGTTTTTTTTTATGTTTGCTTGGTAGAAACATTGTTTCARTGTTTGGACATTTACTTGAAAATTTCAGTGCAAGTTGAAAAAATGTGCACTCAGTCAGRACATGTTTTTGATATTTTTGATTTAGCCTGTCTAGTGCACAGAGCTGAAAACACGTTGCCATGAATACTGGCATGTTTGTTAAGTGGTAAAAGTTGGTTACTTATGTTTTATGGTAGCCTGTAACCTTGTTATTTGGAAGTAAAATACATTCTGAAAATAAAGGAAGACATTCAAAAATTCAGTTTGCATGATTTACAAAATGTACAAAATTTTATCATCTCAGAAACATTAAAAAAACCCACATATCGATATCGGTAAATATCGGTTATCGGCCATAGCAGAAAAATTCATATCGGATATCGGTATCGGCCAAAATTTTCATATCGGTGCATCCCTAATATGAAGTGAATCCTTGAGATGATTCACTGTGAGTTAATGACGTTTCTTACACGTGGCAGATGTAAAACAATAAAAAACAACAAAGAATACAAATATCTCTGAGTACTGAAGATGTTGAGAGCTTTTGATGAACGCCGGTGTCTATATGCTGTCAACAAAATCATGTGTTCTTCACTGCAGAACTATTGTATTATGTCCTGTCACTGCCTGCTGCTCACCTAAAAAATAGCATTTTGCATTTTTCATGTGTTAAAAGCAACTCCGGAGAAAGTCTGGACCCAATTGTGTGGATATTCACTGGAGTTCATGTCTGAAAAACGGCTAATGTGACTGTCTTGATAGCCGTTGCCTATTTAAGTATGTTTTATGTATCATTTTGTCTTCTTGACAAGAATGTGTTTGTTGGCAGGATGAGGTGGCCCACACAGTAACAGAGAGCAGAGTGTTACAAAACACACGACATCCCTTCCTCACGGTGAGAATACTTGCACATTACCTACTTGATTTTTGTTTTTCTCACAGTGCTGTCTTTTCTTCTTTTTCACAAGATATGATCATCATGTCAGTATTGATTAGGGTTGGGTAGCATTCACGTTTGACCCGATACCAGATATTTATTACTATTTTTATTTATTTGTTAATGAGAGGGTTTAGTTTGTTATTTTACTTTTGAAAAAAATTACTTAGGTAAGAAAGACAGAGCCATAGTTAACTAGGGTGTCCTTGTTTATATCGTACTGTAAACCATGATTTTTGTGTACCATTATAGCTTATATTGTCCAACAACTTAAAGGAAAGGTAACAGAGCCAATCTCTCTCTCTCACACACACACACACACACAC